TGCGGGCCGGAGCGTGAACAAGATTGCGCAAATTTATTGCATTCTGCTGAAGTGATGGTGTTCTGACACTTTCATCAGCAGCGTTGTCAACGCGTGACATACCTGGATCGTCGGATGATGTGAGGCACGTACGTTTCACCGTTTCGTTGATTAAGCAACCAATTCTACGCTTAACGTGTTTTTGGTCCGGACGTGGAGTGTCAAAATATACACTCGATGTAGCAGCATCCGATTCGACATTTGGGACGACTGTAATGTCCAAGTCATCGTTTTTTTCACTCACGTCCATCGGTTCCGCTGACTTTTCTTCGATCACAACATTTTCAGTGTGCACGGTGGCATTGGCATTTTCAATAAAACGAAGAAACGAATTTTGGTCAATTTCAATCACTTCTGTAGCACCGATATTCTGCTCATTTCGTTCATTTTGGTTGCTGGCATTCTTTTGCGGTAAGTCCGCGCACAACACTTTGTCGATGAGAGGCACTAGCGATTGTTTGAGGTCCAAAATAAAATTTGAACACTCAGTGAAATTGTTTACAATGCCACTAAGAGTGTGTGGCTGACAACTGTCACAATACCACTGTAAACCGGAAATTTTCGCCAAAAAGTTTGTCAGAGTTTTATTGAAAACAGTGGTGGAATCATTTTTATTAAGGCACGCAAAATGAAAATGTTTGCCGCATAAACCATAGCATGAAATGCTTTTGTTTTTGTCATTGGCTACGGGTTTCACACACAACGCACATTGGGCCATTTTATGGTTATAAAAAAAACAACAACAATAACACGGGTAAACGATGTGAGTAACGAGAGCGACGTAACCAAAAATGTGCACAAATTATCACAGAAATAAATCGACGAAATTGATGTTGACACGGATGAACTTTATAATATTCAAATACAGCAAGTCTTTACGAATAGAATGATATAAAATTTGTGACAAAAAAATGTGGATAACTATTTAAAAACGATAAAATAATGTAAACAAAGACGAGAAACGAAAAAAAACACAACTGTCAGCGTAGCTGTCAAACGTCAATATTGATCTGAACATGACTTCTTTGGAGCGTAGGAGGGTGAATGCATCAATTGCATTCATGTATGACATCGTTAATGGGATCGCAAATTGTCCCAATGTACGCAACGATATCGCAATAGGAGAGAGCGAAATAATAATAATATACGGAATCGTATTTACTTTTCATCCCTGAATAAAGTAAAAACGCTGGCATTGGCACGAATCTACGCATTCTGTAAAAAAATCTTAAGCGAATCTCATACGAAAGCATAGCCGTACTTGATAACGCTTTCCATAGAGAAAGAGACAGCTTCTCAACTATTTTTTAATTTCAATGAATGTACACACGAAAATAAGTACCTTAAATCTGGGATACATAAAACAAAACAAAAAATTCTGTCACTGTCGCATTTTGCACCAACACAACCTATATCTATGGGTGACATTGAGAGTATTGTATGTTTCACAGACTTTATATTGGAAAAAGTCAACCTTTTTGATCATGAAAATAGTAAACAATACAGCGGCACCTGGGGACTAAGTGCAATGTGTCATACTTTCAAGGTTTGAACTAACACAGACGCATACTTGTTACAGCAAACTATGTGCATGGTTCTGTATTTCTCCAACCAGTCGCCAGGTGCCGCTTTATTGTTCTTGTTTGACGTTGCCTATCTATTTGTACAAACGATCAGAGAGGCTGGAAAAAGTATTTGTATTTGTGTGAGTAAGATAGAGTAGGTGTTCAAGCAGTGGGCAAATCTTCTAATAATTCATTTATTTCAACTGAATAACGATCATTGTCTTTTGCAAAGTTGTACAGTTTGAGAAAATCAACAATTTAGTGTCTCCAAATTTGTACACATATTGACTAGAAAATGAAATGGGGTGAAGTTGGTGCTCTATATATATGACAGGGAGTAAAATAAGCGGTATTTTTGCCCATTTTGGGCAGTTCTAAATTTGGTTTTGGGCAGTTCAAAATCCTCCATTTCAGAAAATTATCGCAGTAGAATAGTCCAAATTATGATAGTTACTTTTCCGCAAACTTTGTTTGTATGGAAAAGTATTGGTTTTACTAGCCAAAATTTCATGACATCTCCTCTTTCGGACCACTATAACGTCACGCCAAACTTCAAAAAGCACATATCTGTACACTAGGCAATGTAGATGGGATCAAATCCTATCGATCAAGACCTATCTGCCTCCAAAAACATGTTGTTTACTATGAAAAATGTGCAAAATAGCGATGTGCGTATGGCGTCGTCCGCGTTCGCGTTCGCGTTCGCGTCCGCGTTTTTTGTTCGCCGATTATCTCAAAAAGTTGACAAGATAATTGAGATCTGTAAAAGCTTAAAGTTTTGGCATGTCGAGACAAAGCTTTGGATTGATTTTGAGCCCATTCTGATTTACCAATTTCGTACCATAAGCCTCCGACTGAGGACCTGAAAAACCTTGAAAAATGACACTTTTGTACTGGAAGTACCCGAAAAAAGCATTTTCCAGGGTTTCAATCAAGGCAAACTGCCATTTTTTTGCAAAAATAATGGGAGTCTGTGAACAACCGAACACCTACTTGCCCATAAATTTGGTCCAAAATCGACATTTCTTGACATTTTCCTCGAAAAATAGACTTTTATATGAAAAATCACTCAGAAAGCCATTTTTTAGGGTTTTGGTCAAAGCAAACTGATGTTTTTTTGCAAAAATAATGGGAGCCTTCAAACAACCGAACACCCACTTGCCCATAAATTTGGTCCGAAATCAACATTTCTTGAAATTTTTGAAATTTTGTCCGAAAATGACACTTTTGTATGGAAAATGGTCGAAATAGTTATATTTTAAGGTCAAAAATGCTATGAGAAAAGGGTCCATTGAAATTTTCGTTAAACATTAAGCGGGAGGTAAACTAAATTGCTGCGGAGCGGAAAAGTTTGGATAACGTATGTAATTCGTTTTATTTCATTATCTATCTTATCTTATCTAACCATCTAAAATAGATAAATATCTTGAAAAAACACTGATTGTATGATGTATTAAAATAGTTTCAAGATAAACCAAAATTCGGCGGCGATGAATTGGCTTCCACTTTTTCCAACCAACTTGAGCGTGACATCGAGCAGAAATACCATCTATTCCAACGAGAAAATGATGTGAAACGGAATAATGCCATTGTAAGTTCAGATCAAATATATGAACCATTGCGACAAACAAATTCCCTCAGAATATTTTAGTTTTAAAGTGCATCATAAAGTTTTTTTCATATGGAGTTGTTGTTGTAAACTCTATATAAAAAAATTTCATGTGGGAATTTGTTTGTCGCAATCGTTCATATGTCACTATTTGTTCGACCTTCATAACATGTATCTTGCCCCCATATTCGGTTGAAGATCCAAGAAAACTCTGCGAAGTTAACACAAATGACCGAAGATTTGAAGGCGAGAATGGAAACTCTTAAACAGGAAAGGGAGAAGATCGCATCGGATATATTTGAGGAAAGGCTTCGTTCTCTCGAAAAGGTATCAACAACTAAGCAAGACCTATTGCAATGTGTTTTAGTAAAAAAATTATTTTAAATGACAGGAATCGAATAACACACACAACAACTCCTTACGCGACGAACTGGAAGCAACTTTCGAAAATAATATGATCAAACGAATTGGCAATGCATATTTGGATGCCAGTAATTCGATGAATTTATTTCCAGGAGGTTAAGTTTTCTGTCCTGCTCAATGTATGTTTGCATTTTTTTTTTGTTTCTGCTTCTCTGTTCGTCTCTCTGTTTTTGTCATCTAATTCTTTGTGATTTTAGTTTGATGCAAGGAAAAAGGGCGATGTTGACATCACTGGAGAAGTTCGCCAAAAATTGGAATGGCACATTGATAACACGTTGAGCAGCATAAAACGATGGAATGAATCGAACAAACCACCATCACCACCAGAGATAAGATATATTGAAGGGCCGACACGTAATAATGGATGTACTATACTCTAGTATGCTTATGGCATGCAACTTCAATTCAGTCAACTTCCATAATTACATGTATCTGACTTATCAATTCATACGATGACAAACAACAACAAATGAATCATCCAAACATCTATATTAACATCGATTTATTTTTTGTACATTTATTCTCGAAATACAAATAAAAAAAAATTGAAAAAAGGTCGACATTTAATCCCTGTTTCAAATTAGTTGTCAACGGGTGCCCATAAAACTGTTCCTAATAAAAATGTATTTGTTTAATGGGATACTTAAATAATTTTCGGTTGATAGAGAAACGGAATTTTCGCTTTAGTCTTTTTAGATGAATTTTTCTTTGAATGCCCATGTGTTCGATGTCGAATGAAGCAACTGTAGCGCTTGTATACTTTATCACATTTGTCGCATTCATATTGTTTTCCATTTAAATGAAATTTACTATGATATGACAAGTGATGTTTCTCAGGAAATCGTTTGAAACAAATGTTACATTCGAAATCTTCGCCCGTGTGAATGCGTTGGTGATGAATTAATGAAGATTTCCGTATAAATGATTTCAAACATGTCTTGCACACATGGGCACCGCCATTCGTGTGATCTTTGTGATGTTGATCTCGGAGATAGACTAGTCTGAATTTCATTGGACAGAAGAAGCACTTGAATTCTTCGCCACTGCACGATTTCTCATGATTATTACATTGAAGTTGGTTGACAAATCGATCGCCACAAAAATTGCAATAATAAGATCGCTCGTGCTGGTGTATTCGTTCACGTGTTGCTCGGTTTGTTGATTTTGTAAGAATCCCACCGTTTGGATGGTCTTTGATTGATCTTTCGTCGTTAAAATTCTCGCCAGTCTGTCGTTCATCAATGGCTTGATGGTTTGGTTCATCAAATAGGAAGTCAGGTGCTTCGGTGTCGGGCTCGAATTCACATATTTCAACTGAATCTTCGGCTCCACTCGAAATTGACGACTGGTCTGTTGTTTCCAGAGGATGTTCATTATCAAAATGAAGTCTTGGCTCTTCTTTCACCAAAATATCTTCAATTATTTCCTCGTCAATCGTTTCATCACCATTCAATACCTCATGATCCATTGATTCGCTGTTTTTGCAATGACTTCGCAACGGATCTGCAGCCACCGCATGTTCCATCGAATTGAAGCCAATTTCAATTATTTCTTTTTCGATTTTTATTTCACAATTTTCTTCGGATGTTGATGGCAACGAACTGATCTTCACACTTTCACAGCTTACATTTTTGCGGATTCGTTTCAGCTGAATTTTCTTAGATTTAGTCTTTCTAATTCCGATGAGCTGAACTTCTTTTGATGTGATTTTGGGCAGTTGAGTTTCTTTCGATTGAATTTTGGGCGATTGAGCTTCCATCGATGGTATTATTGGTGACTCAGCATTGGTCCGTTCATTGCCATCATCAAAAACACCGGAATTTTCGAGAGACGTGTCAGAACCGGCTACACGTCTGTCTTTTATGTGTGAATTTTTAACCGATTGTGAATGAGTTCTACTTTCGATAGATTGCAAACCGTGTTTCTGACCTAAAAAACATGATTTTTGTTAAGAATTTAACCAATTTATTCGTTTTTCGATCTCTTTTTATTAAAAAAATAACATATCCCTTGTTGGACCTACTAAAACTCTCAGTTCCACTGGCAAGAACATCGCTTCCATTTTTATTTTTCGAAGCATTGCGTGGATTCTCGTTTCTCTCCATAATATTGATCAATTCGAAATATTTATTACTGAATTGACTCGAAAATTCCTCCTTTTTCGGTGTGAATGCTTCTCAATGTAAGTGTATCGCTCAAAGTAATCTCGAAGAAGCACCCCTTTTACAACCCAATTCAAAACTTATTTCTCATCTGTAACAAATGCCATTCAAATGAATTTATCATTAGTGTAACAAACACTATTTTATTGATGAATTATACTTCATTTTTACACAATTCGCTTATTTTACCTGTTAAACATTGCTTCAAAACACGGTCGTGAACTTGTTTATACTATTCATCTGTCAAAGCTAATGTCAATTCCATTTCCAGTGTCAAAATGTGAGTTAAGCACTGTCTACATTGCCGAGAATATTGAATGCTTTTTAGCGCATTATTCGAAATATGGACAAAATAATTGAATGCATTTGAGTTTTTTAAATTTTATTCATTTTTTGTCATTTTTGAACATTATTCGGTTTGTAAAAAAAAATCGCTGCTTTGGTTTGATTTGCTTTGTTCACCACATTTGCAATATTAACTTTGTGTCAATACAGCACAACGCAGTACGGTTGTGACACTTGTTGCCGGCCTATTTATTCAATAGGATTGCTCAGACAACAACAAAGTAAACAAATGCAATGTTCGGTCGGAATAATGCAAAATTACGTGTGTATATTCGGTATACTGTTCTGTATACGAAATTATAATCAAATTCCACCGACAAAACGATGAAAATAAATTATTCCGAAATTGTGTGTGGTAAATGTAGGATGGTAAAAATATCATCATCATTTTTCGGTCAAAAAAGTAGTGAGAGTGAAACCGATTTAGAAAATGTTGCATGCTTTGATTGTTGTGGTGAATCGCAGTGGATAGAGTGCGAATGAGTCAATATGAAATCGAGGGTTGTTTATATGTTAGTGTCAAAAATGAGCATCTTCACGGTGACAGTACATAACCAAAGTACACACTGCACAATTGAAATGAAAGAGACAAATCACGCCATCAAGTGTATTCAAGTGAAGCAATCGATCCGATCAACATTGAACCATGGACACTCCAAATGGTGAATATTTTATTACAACTTGGTATTTTATTGTAATTTTAGCGTTGAAAAAGGGGAAGAGAAATTTTTAAAGCCGAAAATTGGTTGCATCAACTTTCCTTTCTTCCAAAAAAAAAATTGTTACAATGATCGCTTAAAAATCGAAAATTTTCCATGACACTCGCTTACTGTTATTGTTGTTGTGCCATTGAACTTGGTTGCCATTTTAATAACTCGATTGTTTCCTTTTGCAGATTCTGATGGCAGCCCAACGACCGCTGTTCCGACCAAAGGTAACCGATTTCTTTAACATTTTTTTCGAACATTAACTTTGTTTTGCTTCCAAAAATTGGTGAATTTCGTGAGACTAACTTTGGTTTTAAAATATTTGTACATTTTAGTGTTCCGCTTCACATTACCTAGCGTACCAAGCGATGATAGGAACGCCAACTTGTTTGGTAATGTCAACTTTTTTTCGAAATTTTATCGTTTATCCAAAATGAATCACGATTTCCTAGATTTTTGACAATTTTTCTAAATTCTTTGGATTGGTCCAATTCGTAGGCTCAGTATCGGAGGCTCAAAATCTCCGGCAAATGGAACAACTGTGCGGCATGTTTCGTTCGGCTTTGCTACAAGTGGATGAGACACGTCCATTGAATCTGCGATGCAGCATGTGCATCAGCCAGCTTCATCGGACCTATTTCCGAAATGTGGAAGAATTGATCACTCATTTCCAGAACAAACACCACATGAAGGCGATTTTCGTGTCAGAATGAAATAATTTACCACAATTTTATCGTTTTTTTAAAAATTGTATTCGATTTTTCATTTATGTTAGCCATTGATTCGAACAAATCAGTATTTTTATCGTGTCGAAATTAATTTTTGGCGACAATAAACTCAAATTTTATCAAAAAAAGGGATTTTTTTTCTTTCGTTTGTTCCAATTAATTGAATTGACTTGACCGAATCTATTGTGGTGTCGATCAAGAGACTCTAGGTAAGACCTTTACAGAGAAAAAATTTTTCCTGCAAATTTTTTCCTCATCATTCAACTGAAAAAATGAGTTGCATTGCTCCAGATAATTTTGATTCTTACGATATCTATGGGTGAGATTAAGAGTAGTGTATGTTTTTTTGATGACTTATATTTTGATAAAGTGAATTATGTTTCGCTTGTGGTTTTAAGCGATTTCCATTTTAAAGACAGGAAATATTGAATTGGTGTCTTCGCAAAAATGATGTGGTCAGCTAGCCCATTGGTGATCTATAGTTTTTTCGCAGTAACGTCCGCTATGACTGGTATGGATCAATGATGAATTTAAATTTACGAAATAAAATCGGTAAGGCGCTTATCACCCATTATTATAATGATATGTATTTTTTTTATAGGTCCTTCGCACAACAAAACGGTCGTATGCTTTCAAAATTTTTGGCTGTTTGGAGAGAGTCGTGTAGACACATTTAAAAAGTATAATGGACTTAATCTATGCACACACCTTATTGTGGAAACATATACGACATACGACGATTCAAGTGAATATAGAATAAATTTGACATATGTAGTTATCGTCATATTCCTGAGTTTGCAATAAATATTTACTTCTTTTTTGATTACTTCGACTTTAAGTGCCCTGGAACTCTGGAGTTCAGTGGATAAAAGCGGATTTGCATGAATTTTCCCAAAAATGGTTGAGCAAACGGGAAAAATATCCACATTTAATCGTAAGCATAATTCTTTCTAATTTCCGCTAATTTGGTTGAACTAAACAATATTATTTTCAATTTCATAGATCATTTTGGGAATCCATTCGACTGATGAGCTCTTCAAAATGGCAACTCATCCACAAATTCGCCGTAAATTTATTTGACAAGCTCTTAACTACATTTTGCATCACAACTTTGACAGATTAAATTTGTATTGGGATAGTAAGAGGTTAGTTATTTGATCTCAATGGAAAGCAAAGAGGCCGGTTCTTGAAAATAATTTAATCCCATTCTATTCTATTTCATTTGTAATAATAAAAAGAATTACATTGGTAATCCCGAACTTTTCCGTACCGTTGGCCTGCGTTGTCCGTAGGTACTTTTGGTAATTTTTTGTGAATTTTCTTGAAATAAAGGTAGTGAAAATATCAGCCTCTCTGATCGTCTGTACAAATAGATAGGAAACTTCAAACAAGAGCAATAAAGCGGCACCTGGCGACTGGTTGGAGAAATAGAGAATCATGTACATAGTTTGCTGTAACAAGTGTGCGTCTGTGTAAGTGCGCCTGTGTAAGTTCAAACGTTGAAAGTATGACACATTGCACTTAGCCAGGTGCCGCTGTATTTTTTACTATTTTCATGGTCAGAAAGGTTGGAAAATATAATAATAAAAATGAAGTGAAAAATCGGTCACTTTAACTAAAACTTCGACAATTTTGTATGAGAGATTCCCGTAAACCGATTCCTATTGGCTTCAAACTTTCTAAGATTTCATTTTTTGGAGAAAAAATAAGATTCTGAAAGTTTCATGTTGATCGCATTTGCAGAAGTTTGGTTTTTGGCCCTCAATTTTTTCCAAGAAAATTTCGACAAAAGTTGAGGACAAAAAATCAAACTTCCGCAAATGCGATCAACACGAAACTTTCAGAATCTTATTTTTTCTCCAAAAAATCAAACCTCAGAAAGTTTGAAGCCAATCAGAATCGATTAACGGGTACCTCCCATACAAAAATGTCCAAAAATCGGTAATTTTAGTCAAAATTTCAAAAAAATTGTATGGGAGGTACCTGTAACCTCGATTCCGATTGGTTTCAAACTTTCAGAATCTTATTTTTTATTAAAAAATGGAATCCCAGGAAGTTTGAAGCCAATCGGAATCGATTTACGGGTACCTCCCATACAAAAGTGTCAATTTTTTGAGGTTTTTCTTAGGGCAAGTACCCCAGGATCAAATCGAAGATGGCTCTTCGAACTTAAACTAAGTTTTTCGAATACAAAACTTTTGGCGTTTCCAGATTTTGATTATCTCAATTATTTTTTGAGTTATCGTGTTAACAAACAGCTACGACAACGACAACGACAACGACAACGAAGACCGCACACGAACGGAAAAGTGTCTCAAAAAGTGGTTTTCTACGCGTTTCATGAGTTTTTATGATGATCTAAGCTAATTTTGCGAAAAAAGTTTTCGGGACCAATTCCTATACTTTCCCTTGACACGTTGTGTACGGAAAAGTAAAAGTCTTTACACATAGCCAATAACATGAGATGGGCGATGAAACATGATTTGGCGGGAGCTCTGGTCTTTTCACCTAGTAACGATGATGATAAAGGTTGTCTTGTCGAACAAGACACATTCCTGGATTTCCGGACAATGGAAGGCATCAATTTAGTTATACCAATGCGTAATGTCTCTTTGCCACGTACTCAAGCTGTAAATGATGCCATTATTGTGTCGTTGGATGAAATGGCACAGGAAGCGAAACTCTGCAAAAAAAATCTCTCCAAGATAAAGTTATAGTGTATAAGATGAATATTCAAATCTTGGAAAATTTGCCGAAATGACTTCGGGTAGGGCGATTTCAATTGTAGATTTCATGAAGTTTAATGTAGTGTTTTTACTTTTTTTATGTAGGGAGGATTACTCAAAAAAATTGTTCCTACATAAAAAAAGTAAAAACACTACATTAAACTACATGAAATCTATGGGTGAGATTGAGAGTGGAGTATGTTTTTTCTTCGATTTATATTTTTGAAAAGGCGAGTATGTTTTCTGATGATTCTGTTGGCGTTAAAGTAGAGTATGTTGTAGTACCGTCTAGCCTCCGCGGTCTTCATGGTTTTCACGCAACTGATAAAAGATAACAACATGGTGTCTTCAGCAAAGTTGTAGTACTCGAGGTCTTCTATAACTAATATGAAGACAGTTATCTCTTATCTCTTATCAGTTGCGCGCAAATCGCGCACATAAAAAAGCAAATTTTATATAGAACTTCTTTTTTCTTATCATTTTTCGCGCTTTTCGCGGAACTGATAAGAGATAAGAGATAACTGTCTTCAACGATGTTATAGAAGACCTCAAGTGCTACAATTTTGCCGAAGACACCAAGTTGTTATCTCTTATCAGTTCCACGGAAACCGTGAAAAACCGCGAGGACCCGCTAAAAACGAACATACTCGCTTTTAACCATTTTTAAGTCGACAGAAACTTGCTCTTCTCTTTCGTAACAAAGTCAATCAAACATACACTACTCTCAATCTCACCCATAGAAATCTACAATTGAAATCGCCCTACCCGAAGTCATTTTGGCAAATTTCCCAAGATTTGAATATTCATCTAGTGTATACATTTAATCCATCAAACTGTATTCTTGTTTGACAATCAAACGATTGCCAGCAATTCATTGGAACATCAATCAATTTGCATGAATTAATTTTTTTATTTTATTCCATGAAAATTCCTAAAAACATGTAGATACAATTTGTTTAAGATATAAAAAAATAAAGAAAATAAAAAAGACACAAAAAATTAAACTTAAATATCACAAAACTAGCCGATCAATTCAAGCCGACAAATATAATGGAGACAATTTTTAATACAATTCCAATAAATGTGCTTGTCCATTAAAAGTCATAGTTTTTTTTCTCTTTTTTGTTGCAATAAACATTCAAGGCATGGTTAACATTCGAATAGATTAGAGTAGTTTCATTTTGGTGAACTCCCTGAAAGCGATTTCGTTAATGGCAAAAAGCGATAAAATGTCTTTTCTTGGTATTTTTTCACCAAGTTTTTAATGAATAAATTAAATCATTTGTTAATTTGTTCTTTTTTTTAATTTGCTAACAAAATTTGCTAATAAAGTCAATTTCAAGAGTAATTCAGTCAAGTGTTTCGAGCTTAATGTCATAGTCTTAGGTGTTTTATAATGTTGACGTTTCTGTCGTTGGTTCACCGTATTCTTTCATATCGGGATTATTTAGGCTATTTTTCGAGTTGGGTTTGTGTGAGATTCGATTTTTTTCCGATTCTAAAAACATTTTATTGAGTTCATTGTCATGTGAGCCTTGTTCATATTGATGTGGTTTAACGTGTCCCGGGGCAAATGGGTCTCCTTCTCCGTGCATAAATAAATCTAATTGCGAACCAGACAAATTGCTCGACATTAATTGCTCTGCCTTTTTCAGGCCGGCATCTGGCTCAATGCTGGCATCACCCATACGATCCGCAACTGAAAAGAAAACAATTAGAATGAAGTTAAAGCTCAATCATCAAACATCGAAACGACATATTTTTTTAATCTTATGCTGGTTATGTATTGCACACAATTTTTTTGCGTGAGAAAAAAATGTCCAAAAATGTTCATTACCGTCATGTTGCTTTCTAGCCCGTTCAGCTTCTTGTTTGATAATGATTTCATTCGTAATATAAGCTTCTCGTCTTATTTGGTCTCTCAACTCGGCGGACATATCCGGAATGGCCCATCGCACCAATATCATCACAAAGGCAACGAAATTCTGAATTAAAAACAAAATTCAATAAAAAAAACTGTTTAAATAGATAATTGTCAATATGCCTACCTCAAAGATAAGCACAAATAGAAGTCGAGATGCCAAAATGATCCAGAATAAATATGTGCGTGAGTATGGATGCGATGACTCGTGAGGATATCGATAATCAGGGTATCTGCATTCGGAATAGCTTGCATCTTGCGGTGCTGTACCATTTTTAAAGTCACTTGTGTTGAAAACCGATAATGAATAATCCACGTAACCTCTAAGACTTCCATCTTTTGACCTATACACTTGGTAGACCAATCTTGGTATAAATTCTGATGTGAAAGCAATGATAAATCCATTGGTAATGACGCTCAACTTTCCAATACTATCCAAGATGCGATACCAAACACCAATGTCACATACACGCTGCGTCACCGGACGCCGATGGAACTTGAGCAGTTTTTTGGCATCAAAGCGCATCTCCAAAATGTTGTTCAACAGTGCAAAAAATGGTGCGAGTGGGAATGCAGCCACAAAAATGGTGACAAATCCATATTGTAATACCATTTCGAGATATTCATTGAACAGACTTTGTGGGCCCCATTGCACCAGTTTGAGATCACGCACCCATCGCGGTGCATTCTTGTTGGCCGCCATACTTTTACGTCTTGATAAGCGCACTCGCAGAGTGTTATAGTATTTGTATATGCGAGGTTGAATCATTTCGAGCACGGTATTCATTGCCTGCTTGCCAACCATGATGATTCCCAACTGAATGCAGAGCTCGGTTATACAACCACCGAAGCCACACTGAAAATAGAGAGAATTTTTTTTGCATATTAAAATCTCACAATGGAAAGGGAATAGTAAATGGACTGTAACTTTTTTCAGCCAAATAAAATTACAACGCCGTTAACTTAAGAATGATTTTTTTACAAGAAAAAAAATTGAAATTGTCTGCGAAATCATTACCTCTTCTTGTCGATAGTTGAAGAAACGATTGTAATCGCCCGGATACCCAATGAATTTCCCTTTGAAGAACGCGATATAAAAGATTGAAGCGTAGTAGTTGACAAATTGGAAGAGATAGATTTTTAGCGTTAGCGAGTCATCGAATTCAGTTTGTGTGCGAAGAATTTCAAATTCGGTTAAGCATTCAGCGAGCCAAATGTAGAACTGAAAACATAGAAAAATGATGCCATTATTGTGTCGTTGGATGAAATGGCACAGGAAGCGAAACTTTGCAAACAAAATGACCAAGATAAAGTTAAAGTGTAACACATTTAATCCATCAAACTGTATTTTTGTTTGATAATCAAACGATTGCCAGCATTTCATTGGAACATCAATCAATTAACTGATTATATTTAAATATAGAAAAAAATTGTATTAAAAAATTCCAAAAGAAAAAGACTTTTACGCACGACATGGGCGTGCGGAAAAGTAATAAATAATGGAAAGAAAATTTGATTGAAAATTCATTCTATTTCGAGAAACATTTTTTACTAAATTAAAAAATGAAATAATTAAAAATTTACATTAAAAAAAAAATTTCAAAGCAAGTATTCGAATACTCCTTCTACTCAAGTCCAACTTACCCAACTGAATAAGAAGATCAACCCTAAATTGATCAGTGCAGCGGTAATTGTGGTGATATAAATTGCATGTGCCGTAGTAAATTGATCTTTGCTAACACTGAGTGCTGCCAAAAAGGACATTCGGTATAAAACTACGGCAACAACAGCCGCAAATGCCAAAGCGACAAGCAAAATTACAATTGAAAAGCTGAAAACAGCGGCTGGAAGTTTCATTCTCCAAAATGGTGGATCCGGTTCTTCGGTATTTGTAATGTAGTCAATGCGAACTTTTTTCACATGAGCCAATCGGGCGAGATATTGCGGGCGTGGATGCTCTTCATGCAAATCGAACCCGGTCAAATCCCAACGATGCGTAATTTCAGCTGAATACCGTTTCCATAGTTCAAGGAACAAAACAGCTAAAATAGAAAGATTAATTGAAATTATTTTTTTTTTCTTTTGAATGACTCTTTTTTACAAAAGTTGAAAATAAATTTTTTTTTTGTTTAAAAAATTGAAATGTCATTCTTTTGTCAATTTTGTCGTTGAAAAATTTTAATGAATAAAAATGAATTTTTACACTGAAATATTTTGTAAAGAAGACTGTGTGACTGAGTAGACTGATGGTACGATTTTAATACGTATAGTCTACAGTTTTCAGTGACGAGTCACATCCTTCTTTAAAACCAAAACTCAATTCTCACCCCAAAATGACATGAAAACAGCAAAGAACACCGTAGCCTTGTTATCGAAGAGATACGTGATTTTAATGTGCATACACGAGTCTTTCAGCGGCCAATAACCACACAGCCTATCACAAAGCGGACACATTATAGTGTTGCTCATGGTTCCGTTGCAAATTTCCTGACTGTTGAAAAACACAAATCCATTAATATTCAGAGAGATTGAAATTGTTCTACACAATAATAATTCAACTATAGTTTATTCTATTTGAAAGAAAAAAATACATACCTTGGAGTATCATACTGCAATGTGAGAACAGAATACAAAAAACAACCAAAGCCAACAACCGATGCTAACAGCAACATATACGTGTAATATCCCAACCAAGCGAAATAAAGTCCGATTTTAACACCAAAGTATTCCTTTACATAATCCAACGGCTGATAGCGATAAAACTTCGCCACACTAGCCCATTCTTTGTATAATAAATGACGAACACTTCCGGGCACTGATATTTCTCCCTGAAGAAAAGGAATTACACATTTGATAAGAAAAAAATAAAAAATAAAATGAAGAAACAAAATATTCCTATAAAAAAATCAAACAATTCTGACTTTATCATTTATTCCAGTTGATAACGTTTTATGCAAATATTGAAAAAAAAATCGCAAATGAACGCTATTCAGATAATTTCTCAGCCATTCAAGGCAGAATTAAATTCATTAAAATATAAATGATTCCATTGATCTAATTAATTTTGTTCTAATTGAAATTTTCTGAGAGAAATTAGAAAAAAACTCACATCATGCAACGGGTACGCAGCAATATACACGCCCTCATCTATTAATCGATCAATGCCGAATGCATAATCATCATCGACAAGTTTTGACCACCTCTTGCGATCCAATATGAATTGAACAATTCGAGACCGAATGGCTGGCGTAAAGAAACATGCATGATGAATGTCAAATCTGTAGAGAAAAGATATGAGTGTGGTTAGATTTTTTAATTCCAATTCCAATAGAACACAATTCATACAATTGCTGAACAAGAATTGCAATGTGAATTGTTATGAAAATTGATAGCAAGAAAATACGCGTAGTTCCCTTAAATTTATACAAGGAAGTGATATAATTTTAAATTTTTCTTTTTTATATTTAATTATATCATCAATCAAAGATCAATAACACTCACAAATACTCCTTGTCACGACTATAAACCGCTGTGAATCTTGTAGACCTTCTCGGAAAGTGTTCTTCATCTACAGCAAAGCAATTCCTTAGCTTAAGACAGCAACCGCTGAATTTGTCATACGCCGAAACGGTTTTGGTTTGAACGCTTCGAAATCCTGGGATCTGTGATATCAAAATGGAAATAAATAAATTGCAATGAATCACATTTTTTTAAAGTTATGCAAAGATTTTTCTGTCATTCTGTAATCTGATTTCTTACTAAGGCATTAAATTCTAGACTGAAATTCTTATTTTATTTCTCTCCTATGAATAGAATGAAAGTATATGGAAAATGAATGATTATTTTGAATAACGATTAGAAAAAACACTGGAATTTTAGAACAATCATAAAGCCTAGGAATTCAAACCTTTAAAGGAAATCAGATTATAGAGTGGTACCAACAAATGGGACAAACTTCACAAGCCATTACAGAGATATGGTCACAAATTTTGGCGAAAACTCCCATTTTTTTTTACAAAGTCCAAAAACCAAAAACAAAAGAATACCAGAGAACAGAATTGAGGTATGTATAAATTGATACATTTTGCCAGAACTACACACAGGGTTGAGATTTTTGGTACAATTAATTTTTTTTCGTAAAAAAATCCAAAATTAAGATATCTAAGACAAAATTTATTTTCTTCTATACAAATTTTTTCTGAAAAAGAAAATTCTGTCTAGATAGTATCCTAATTTTGGGTTATTTTTACGAAAAAAATCAATTTTTCCAAAAATCTCAATCATTGTTCCCCTTGTGTAGTAAAACCCAAGCAAAGAAAATACACATTACACATGACAATTGAGTTGCATCATATTTGAAAGGGGCAAACATGCCATATGCCATTTGTATTACCCTCAGTAACACTACCTATCTACTAATACAAAGAAATTCAAACAAACACAATAGGCACCAAACAAATAAAAATAACATAAGAATAAAATCAATTCTAAAGCCGTGCAAAATCATAATGTGTAAATGATAAAGAAAATCTGCAATTGGAACGAAAAAAAAAATTTCTCAAGCTGAATCAACTGAATTTAAATAAAAATAAAAATAATCATTTTAACTATAGCGATTTATTCGCTTTTGGTTCGTAAAATTTTTTAGATAAAATATTCATGACACAAAAAAACAAACAAACAAAAACCAACAATAGGCACAGCAGTTGTCGTCCTAAATTCCAATTATTATTTGTTTCAAATATAACGGCTACCGAAACATAGACCAAACAAAAAAAAATTGTCGAAAAACAAATTCAAACAAGAGAATCTCATCATGGATTGGAATATATATGTTCTGACCTTGGTGGAGATAAAAAGTGCCGCGTTCGATAGTCGTGAAAATCGATTAGTTTCTTGTACTAAAGACAGTGACTGAAAATAAAGTTGGGCGTTGATTTGAATAGTTGTGGCGTTCAATTAAAGGGGACTAATAGAAAACAATGGACCCTTACCTCTTTCATGGGCATTCGAAGTTTCAGGATTTCTGCATATCGTCTTAGGACTTCGATGGGCGTATGAATTTTGGTGAAATTAAGTTGTTCAACGGATTCACGTTCCAATTCCAAGCCTTCGTTGACAAGATTATCTTCGAAGATGGCTCGTTTTGTGCAGTTAAGATTCTCTTGTGCTGGATCATCTTCAACTTTTTGCCACACGATGACAAAGTCAATCGATCGTTCGCCATCGGCAAAAAACAACGAAGTATATTCACTACATTGTACTGTAGTTGGGTCGGGTGGTTCACTGTAACAGCTCTCGCAATCAGCCGGATGATGCTTTTCTGTGTGATTATTCATTGGTGAGGCTCCGATACTCCTGTAAATACGTCAAACACATTAACAAATGAGCTGAATCAAATTCGCAAATAACGCGATTTATTGTGCAATGGAAAAGCATTGATTGGTTATCAACATTCAATCAGCCATAAACATGCATTTCAATTATTACACGTTTGTTAGACATTTCACACCGCGTAACAAGCACATAATGTTATTTCTCGCTAAGATTCAAGGCGCCGTCACGGAGGCAATTCTTCATTTTAGAGGCGTTCGATCGGTTTTACAAACTGGTTTTTTCTCATTTTCACTCACTTTTCTGCTGCAGGTTCAAGATTTATCTCAAGAACACTGCCCCATTCGCCACTGGCACGGGCATGTGGCTTACTGAACGATACGTCATTGTAAATGTCACTGCAATTATTCGAGTTTTCATGAAGCATAAAAATCGTTTTATATGTTTTCGAATGTCTTCGATTAAATGGAATTTTTTCGCAGCCTAATGATTGTACTTGAAGTCTGTGTTGGATAAAAAAAAACAGTGCTATGGTCCATAGCCTATGAAGAAGTTCTCTATTGGAGAACACATGTGGCTATAGCACTTTTTTCTTTCTAACATACTAACATTGAAGATAGATTAAATATTAATCTTCTCATTACAAAACCGCTCTAAACGGAGCCATAAGGAAATCACTTTGACCCATTACAACAAATTGCTACTCACTTGTCGGCATCCATGATTTCGTTGTTCTCTCGATCGTAAATACTGGCGACGGACATCGCATTAATATCGCGTAAATTGCCAATCGAACGCTTTCGACCCTGCTGTGTGTCTAGCAGTGACACATTTTTGCCATTTGCTTCGCTCTGGAACGGTGATTTCTGATGGTTTGACGTACGTAAACGAGTATGGTCAATGGCCGGCGGATGAGTAACATTCAATAGGCGTCGTTCGGCATCATCAACAGCTAAATCATAATCCAATCTTGACTGTCCCGGTCTCTGATTCGCTCTATGATTCCCCGAATTCGATAAATTCAGAGGAATTTTCTCGGGCGCAACAGCTAAATAAACACACGGTGTTAAACAGATATGAATAAACAAATGTCACACAGTCTATAAATATATCACTGAATGCAGCGAACGAATATCAATAAGCAACAGTTTCAACACAGCATCTCGACACAAAGAGAATGGATCTACTTGATACACAACACCAATGCGTGAGTTTCGCACAACGTTACGATGTTTCCGACGGTCACTTGTACAATTATATGACCCGGTTCATACAAGTTCAAGCACACATTCACTTATTTCTTGCGTCTCTTGGTATGAGAAACAAAGTCGGTATAAAATAAGAGACAAATTAAAAGCACAGAACTCAAATGACAGACAATGAATAACCAAATGAGTCAACACAAATCGCTTCACATTGAAACTTGATTCCGGTTTTATTTTTTTATGCCTATTGGTCTTTAGAAATGACTCTTTTTTTCAGTTTTTAAAGCACAACGCAGTTCGACTTAAAAAGGTTAAGATTTTGTTCAGATGTTATTGACTCACTATTGTGTTATCTTTGTGACTCTCAGTTTTCTTCAAAATTTCTTTTATTTTTTTTTGTTTTTTTTCTTGGCTCTTATCAAACAAGACTCTTTGTTCGCATAAAAGACTTTGTTCACACTATCGTCTTAGTGTCATTCTATTTTTGAGCATGATTCTCACTAGCATTTTCATTATAATCACAAATTTCAAGTCATTATCGCTGTGTTACTCACAATAATACCAGTAAATTTCCTTAAAAACAAATGAAAATCTTAAATTTCGTTGTTTTTGGGCGACTTTATCAAAAAAAAAAATATCTTGGAACAATCGCGCGATTTTTCTTCACAAAATGAACGAATCATTCGATATAATTATGGTTTTGACTCTTTTTTCGTTCTGTTTTTTACATAAATTAATTTAAAGTGACAAAATGGAACTGTTTTTAAATTATCTAAGTTATAATAGGCTGATAGTCCAAATTGTTTAGACTAAATAATAGACTCTTTCTTCGAATTTATCCGACATTAAACTATTCCGAGATTCACACAATGCAATTCATTCAAGCGCCCAACACACACTGAACTAGTCTCAATTCCATCGAAAGGGAATGGAATCTACATTAATTTTTGCCATACAACGCGAGTGTATATCGTGTTGCTGTGTTGCTTTGTTCATTGGTTTATTTTTTTTCCAAAACACACTCGCTTCAACATGTGTGTATTTATGCCGCGCGCTGCGCGCATACATACTGTTTACTTCCCATATTGGCAACAAACTAACAAACATTCGTCTACTTATAGGTAAACACAGTCATAGCTTCAGTAGTGTGCTGTCTTAACGAATGCTAGTTTTTTCTTTCTTTTCAGCTTGATTGACTTTGATGATATGCGGTCTGTCTACGGGCAGAAAAAAACGTGTACATATCAATGGAATTGGCTTATTCACACACGCATGACTTATCATCAAGACTTCAGGCGTTCAAAATTTAGCTACTTTTTGTTTAGCTACAATTGTGAATTTTTGTAGCTGCTTTTTTCATTCAAACTGGTCGAGTCTTTGTTCCCCTGTGACGTTGGTCAATTTTTGGGACTTTATCGGGTTTTTGAATTTTTTTCATTTTATTTTTAACTTAAAAGTTAATTTAAAATTGAATTTTTATCAATTTCCGGTTTTGCGTAGATGTTTTCATCATTTTGGAATTTGTTCGCTACTCCAATTTAGATCAGAGTGTCTAAACATTTTCTTTCACAGCAAAAGCAAAAAGAATAAAGAACCGAAGAATACTATTTTATGAAAATATGTGTGTCATACAACCGAGAAATATTTTTGTATCTTTGAACATTTTTGCCACTCTGCACCTTTTTCTCTGCGTTGACATTCATTTCGACTCTAATAATTTGTGTCTACATTTTTTCCACCGTGAAACTGTTGCTGTTTCCATTTCGCAAATGGATTTAATTAAGGTAATGAACCGGAATTCCCCTGCCATTATCACAGATGCATCATAACATACCCATATTGTGTTGTTTGGCGAAGCAATAAAATTCCAAAATGAACTTTGCACTAGAGACGTTTACTTTGATTATGAACTTTTATCACACAACATAATAAATTAGCGCCACATTTTAATCCACTAGTGAATTAAATAAAACCCGAAGCGAAAAGGGAAAAAAAATTAATTAAAGAAATAATTTCGTTGCACTAGAATCGAGAGCCTCACATCACCGACTGATGGTTCACGTTGTGTAAAAATAACCAGAGCAAGTCTTTGCACTGGTTCATGCGGAGTGAGATGCGAGTGTGGTCGGAGAGAGAGAGAGAGTGAGAAAGAGAGCGAAAACTATGAACATTTGCCCAAAAGTCATGTGTCAGTCGCTCGATTGACGTTTACTTGTTCAGCGGCTACACAGAGTGTTATCAGTATGTATCAACTACTAACATATGTACCGTACACTGTACACGACTAATGACTCTATTTATTTACTTAACAAGCAGATTTGTATATACGCTACACATGTGTGACTGCATATGTGTATGAGTGGCAAAGCAGTAGCGCCGAGAACAAATCCATATTCCACTTTCAGTTTGGAAAAAATGAATTCCCATGACTTTTTGCTATCGTCGCTCGTTGCTTTCAATGCATGGGTATGTACATGCATTCAAATTATCAAACTTTCCAATTTATGGTTCAATATTTTTTTCCACATTTTTTATTTGTTTTCATGGGCTGATTTCGGATGCATAATCGGCATTTTGCCTCTTTCCAATCGATCTGCCATCGAAACAATTTGGCTATAGTTTGCATGCCCATTTCCAGTGTTCATGTCCAAATACTAAGCGAATGCGCTGTCAATACGAACATTATGTGCCCACGTGAAGCCGGTGCTGTGTCGACAACGGCGACGACGAACGAAGCTTTGTTTTTGTTGGTGCACGACGTTGACAGGCAAAGCCGTAATCAGTTGCAAACAACAAAATACATTACATAAAAGTGAAATTAGCTATGCAGTCGGTTGGTTTCGGTCGGATGTGTGTGTGTGTGCGTGCGGCACATAGTCTAGTTTGCGTCTAGTCTTGTCAATGTGAATGTGTGTATACAATTCGGGCACGCAATACGTGGTGCGGTTGCCAATGTATGCGTGTTCGCTATGTGTTCGGTGTGTCGCCGAGAAATTATCGTACGATTTTGTTGAATCACTTGGGTTTCGTCAACAAACATCTCAATTCATTCGCAAGCATACGCTCGTCTAAAAAACACGCAATTTTCGATTAACAACAAAATTATTCAAAGTGAGTATTCATTTTTTTCTTCACTCTTTCTCGAAAAGTGTTTAACAAATTGCTTTGAGTTGGATGTTCGTAGTACAAACTTTGTACGGTATATTTTGCGAGTAGATCAGGGAAAAAAGTTCCGATATTTTTCGTTCGTGTCAGTTAAAATAAATTGCATCAATAAGCTAAGAACAAGTTTCACATAACCTTACATAATGGATGTGTTTGTAAGCTATGATTAATTGGTTGTATTTCCATTTGTTTTTCTCTTTTCATCGCCCATCAGATGGGTTTGCAAGAAGATTTCGAGAAGGCCGCCGAAGATGTAAAAAATTTGAAGGAAACGCCCGCTGACGGTGACCTTTTGGAATTGTACGGATTGTACAAACAGGCGACAGTGGGTGACATTAACACCGCTCGTCCAGGCATGCTAGATTTCAAGGGAAAAGCGAAGTGGGACAGTTGGGCAAGTCAAGACCTTGTTTAAATTGATAAATTCATTAAAATTGTTGCTTTTGATTGAATTGTTGTTGTTTAATTGCGATTGTTTCCCTTCATTCAAATAGAACCACAAGAAGGGGACCGACTCGGAGAAGGCCAAGCAAGACTATGTGAATAAGGTGCATGAATTGATCGGGAAAGTTGGTCTAAACCAGTGAACCACCAATCGGTTTGAAAAAAAAATCAACACTTACAGCGCAGATCAAAGGTCATCCATGGCAATGGATGGAAAAATTTCTTATGCATTAATCATAATATTTTTTTTTCTTTTCACAATTTTATCGGTGTGAGGTTATCTCTACACTTGAACAACGATAAAGTCGCTGTATGCAATCATTTTTTTTACCAAATGTATGAAAAAATTTAATAAAAATTTGATATTCAACATTTTGCTACACACACACACACACTAACACAAAAACGAAATGTTTTATTTTTTTTTATTTCAATATTGTTTTCTTTATTTTTATTGTGAATGTTTATTCTTCATTGTATCGAATGTAATCAAACCGTGAAAACTGATAAGGGAAGGCAGTTGTTGCTTTCGATTGAATTGTTGCTATTTAAAAGCGATTGTTTCGTTTCTTTTTCTGTTGATTTTTGCGTTGATGTTGACGTGGACCCGGGCCGGCGACTGGCTCCGTTGCGGCTGGTGTGGCTGGTGAGTTCTTTGACAAATTCGGATTTTTGCTCATATCACTGAAGAAAAAAAAACAAAGACAAAGAAATCCAATTTTAGTTTGATTGACGTGTGAATAATAAATAGGGTGGTGATAACTAAACTACACGTCAATGACCCATGACACGATTTGTTTCGTATACAAATACCGTGTAAATGGTGCAGCCATGGCAACGTGGCAGTTTTTAGTTGTGACAAATTCAATATAACGCATATGTGCGGTTATTGACTTACTATTGGTCAGCGGCACCTGTGCTCATGCCTTGCGACCCCTTGATTTGTTCCTTATTGCGACGGTCGCGTTTCGTGCGTCGATAATTGCTGCGCTCGTATTTTGGCAACCACCGTTCTGGATCCGGTGCTACTTCTGGGTTATAGCTTTTTGGCAATTTCGGTTTACGCTTGCGGTGTGTTCGTTTTTTGAGTTTTTGTGGTTCGGAACCAGGTGTTCCAGGCGATTGATCGCCTCGTGTTGAGGTAGCAGCCTTCTTAGCTGCTTTGGTGCTCATCATCCAATTTGTCGCTTCGAGAGCATCAATCTCAACGTTATTCGTAAATGTGTCCAGAGTTGGTAGTCGCTTGCTGGCTTCTTGTGCCTTCTTTGTATCGTATTTTGCATAGGCAATCACCAGCTGAGCCAATATCTTCTCATCGGTCGGATTCGATTTAAGCAATTCTTCCAAACTGCTTGCTGCTGTTTCAGCTGCACCGCCACGCAAATGGAAATTGGCCGCTTGACGCCACATGTCCGTCAAATCACCAGCAGACGATGATTTGTTCTTTTTATACCATTCCACACACTCTTTGAGCACATTCGATGCCGCCGTTTTGTTGTCCATTCCAAGGTGAAGCGATACGATGGCCGAAATAACACCAGGTTGATGCTTTTGCTTGCTTGGCAACGATTCAAGCTGGTCAATGGCACCTTTGCGATTGCCCTGAAATGACGGAAAATTGGGAATTTTCGATTGAAAGGTTGAAGATGTACACTTTTTTGCTCGGAAATCGATGATTTTATAAATTTTCTATTGAAAAATGGAAAGGTCAATCATTTCCACTTGAAAATCACTTTCAACTCGAACATGTTCTTCTTAACACTTACACTCATCAACAGCAGTTGAACCACGGCAAACCTCATGGCCAATTCATCCTTTGGATTGGCTTTACCATATTTCTCCAACAGTTCAATGGCATCTTTGAACTTCTTATCCTTCGCCAATTGTGTGACACGAATCAAAAGACCCTTGAATTCAACATCAGGATAGGATTGAATCAATTTAGCAACAAGTGAATGGACTTGATCGTCTTGATTCGTGTACAATGTCAAAAGGCAATTGTTCAATGCGATTGCTTTCTTCTGACGAGTGGTGAGCTTGTGTTCACAAGCCTCGGCCATGGCAGCACGAATCTTTTTCTTTGAATCAAACACATTTTGATCCTTATTAATCACCACCATATTGTTGCTAGCAACAGCTGTTAGTGCCACATCGCTTGATTTATGCTTCAGCACATCGCTGTAAATAGCTGTGGCTTCTTTGATTTTGCCTTGCAATTGCAAGCAATAGGCCAATTGCACCTTGATTATGGCCACCTCTTCTTCGACGTCATCGTCTTCATCGAGTTGTTCACGGCACATTTTTTCGCTGGTGCGTAATTTCTTCTCGGCGTCGGCGTATTGAGACTTGCCCAATGCAGCGCATGCATCGTTGTAGCACAATTCATAGGTGTCGTCACGAAGATTTGGCACTTCTTTTGGCTGAAAGGAAATTGTTGGAGTTTTTATTCAATTTTTAGAAGCTAAACTTGAAATGAATGAAATAGTATGTGTTACCGTTCCCTCAAACGCCAAATTGGCCACGACAGCACTTAGATTCGTTGTCCGCTCATCGTCGTAATCGTCATCGGAGTTCTTGATGATATCACGATAAACATCAAAACACTCTTCGAATCGTTCCAAGCGGTACAAAACTTGAGCTCGTAATTCCTTGATATTCGGCGGTAATGGGCTGGGCAAATTGGCCAAATCAATGGTTTTCAACGCCTTTTCCGGAACATTCAATCGATATTCAGCATACGCCTTTTCAAACACAAAGTCATTCAATTTGTAGCGTTCAATGAACTGTACTACCTCTTGGAACTTGGATGTTTGTATCAAACAAACCACTTTGCAGTGAGAGGCAGTTGTGTCCTCGGGGCTCACATTCAAAACTGCAAATACAATATGAAATTAGCACAAGCTGATAATAGCGATGAACTTGACTTACTCTTGTTTAATGACTTGATTGCTTTGTCGTACTCTCCATTCTGGCAGAACTTATTCACTTCACCGTAAAAAGCCCGAATGTTGGCTTCCTTATTGCTCCCCGACTTATTACTCATTGCATCAGTTTCGATTAAAAAAAAAATTCTATTCAACTGCAATTAACTTTCCAATTTAATTGAACCCAAATGTGATACGACGAAAGTAACACGGGTGATGGTATGGTAATTTCTGTACAACTTGGCACACGATTAACACGATTTGACAGCTATGAATATGTAAACCATGCAGTGAAGTTGCAGCGAATGACGATTATAACAGTCTGATGGGTATAACAGTTGAAGTACTAACATTTAGTTCATTCAATAGTTGGAGTTTTGTTAGAAATGGATAAAATTATTTATTTTAATGGAATTTCTCTTGAATTTTTTTTATTTTTTTTATTTTTCCTTCCAAAAAATCATTCAGATGGTCTAAACAATGTGAACAATGCCCATAATTCAACTCATTTATCCAAAATCAAATGCACTTATACATGAGAAATTGAAGGCCAAACTTGTCAACCCAGTCACCTATATCTGTCTCTCTTACTCGTATGCTTTCTATTTTCATTTTCTTCCATACACACACAAAAAAAACACAACGAACTGTCAACGCATTTGCGATCATTACTATTTACTCAGTCAATAACAATACGTAGTATAAGTCTCGTCGTCACACGGAATCATGTTAAATCGCAATTAACGCGACGAATATAAAAAATATACATCCGAAAAGGCATCGAGATAAATTCACGCATCTGAGTAAATGTTCAAAATTTGTCATGACAAAGGCTTAGAATCAGAGTCAGTTTCAATTGCCAAAAAAAAAACATTGCTCCGAACAGTATAAAGGCGATAGAAAGAGAGACAAAAAAGTTGTGAAAAACGAAAAAAGTTCGATAAATTGTTTGTCTATACAAATAATTTGTTGTGTATTGTACTTAATTGCCAACTAATTGCAGTGATGAAGCAATGAGTACGTAGAATTTCAGTGACAGTGAAATTTCGGAACACAAATAGACAGATTCAGTGTAAAATTGAAAATTAGGAACAAAATATGGTCGCGACCAATGCGATATGGACAGTAGTAGTTCAGTTAACATTTTTAGCAAATGGTGAGTGTAGTTTTGCGGATATGCATTCTTCGTTGGCTGTTGTTTGATGAGCCATCAAACTGATAAATTATAAATAGAAGAATGCGCAGAAATGCCATTCATTTTATTTACAAATAAGCAAAATAAAAGCGCAACAAAATGTGCTTCGAAACGGGAATTATTCACACAGTGCGATAATCAGGCTGTACTGTGACGGCGTTTGCCAACATTTTTCTCGTATTTCATGGGTGGCTCGTAAAAAAAAAGTAGTGATTAGAATGCTAAATAACCATGTTCCGATTGCACATTTCACAGCCATTCTATTTTCGTTTTAAACACGCGTTACACGTTGCGATAATGTGTCCCATTCAAACCAAATTCACTGATAAAATGCATTTTTTGCTTTTGTCTGTTCACACAGTTGCATATTGTTCCGAGTATTACCTAAAATTGAAGTCAACCGCACCGGCCATCGCAGGCGTTAATGTGACATTTTTCGCAGACTTATTCAAAAGTGACGGGTCACGACCAGCCAACGAAAAACTGGAATGGGTAAGTGAAGTTTTTTTTTGTGATATCGAATTACGTCGAAATTTAGTCTTTGCATTGAATTTCTGCACCAAACAATCTGGTCAAAAGAAGATTTTTTTCGATACAGATTGGTGTACCGAGACAGACAAACAGATAAACAGACAAATACATGCAGACGCTTGATATTTAAGCAATAAAATTTGTAATTTAAATTAAACACACGAAAAATCGCTTTTTACACTCGAGTAATTATAACGATTATTGTCGGTACAAATTAAAGTAATTTCAATATTTGATGAAGATACGACTCATGACGCAGTGCTATTGATCTGTCGTACCTGCCCGTTCACCAACATTTTAATGAGAGTTTATATTTCATGCTCTCGTGCATTTCGTGTTTACGTTTTTATTTTTTTCTTTTACATTTTGTAAACGTGTAATTTTCAGTGAAATAATTGCTATTTTTCTGACTTTTTTCAGGAATGGTGGCTAGATAGTGGCGACAGGCACGTAAGTTCTCCGATTTCATCAATTTTTGCATAAGAAATTTTCCGTAGTGGAAAAAATTGATTTTGAAATTCAATGCAATCAATTCCAATCAAATTAACAATTTTGGTTCTTCGAAAAAAAAATTCACGGTTATTTACCTACTAAATACGCTTTTCCTTTACATTTTCAGACGTTTGAAACGCAAGTGCCATATGCCGAATGGAAATACCTATTCCCGAAGACAAACAAAAATGATGGAGCTAAAACGTACAGGCTACACGTTACGGCCAGCCGAAATTATATATTCGTCGATATTCCAATCGCTGAACAAAAACTCGAAGTGGAAATTACGAGTAAGTATATACATATGATACGATACGATGAGATTGAATCAATTTTGTTTCCGTCTTTTATGCGATAAAAACATGTAGATTTTGATAACTGTATTCAGTAAAACATGTGTTGCATCATATTTTTGTGTAATAAACACAGTAATCTCGGCTATTGATATCAGTCATTCTATGAATGGAATAGAAATGCTTGTATTGGGAATCATTCGAAACTTTTTCTGTTTTTTGTTCGATGCTCGAACGTAGAATGGGTGAAAATCAACACTTGTTGGTCTGATGAGTTGGTCTACAATGCGAAGACTATACTCGTTGGGCCAACGACGTTGACCAAACAGTTGCGATTCAGGTGTTTATTGGTCAAAGAGCTTGAAGCTGAACTAGTTTTTGAGTCGGAACTTTTGACAATTTGGTGTTACAAGAGTTTTCATAGCCTTTTTTACCACAAATTTGTGCATGTTTGCTTTCGAACAATTGTCTATTGGCAAATATAAACTCCCTCTATCAATCCACAAAACCAACTAAAGCCCACAATTCCCATTTGATTCCCATTGCAGGTATTCTAAACGGTCAGCTCTTACTAACCCAAAATGGAACGATACGTGAAACGGACTACATATCAAGTGCAACACCGTTGAATCAATCGATTCAAATCAGCGGTGCCGATATGACGAGCATAGCGAATGCATCGTATGTTTCTGTCTATTGGTTTGTCGATTGCGAATACGTTGGACAGTCGGAACAGTGGAATTCGTCAAATTTTTTCAAAAAAGAAAACTCAACGCACAATATCGAAGTACTTTTAGTGGCGTCGTTTGAGCCTCGACCACAGCCTCAGCCTACGACAACTACTACCACCACCACTACTACGACTACCACGACAACAACAACAACCACTACTCCGTCAACGACAACGTCAACGAGTACAACAACGACGACAACGCCGAAACCGCCAAAAAGAAGACGTCGTGATGCAGCAAGAGACCAATATGCTAATGAAACAGTCGACGAGTTGGTGCACAATGGTGAGGTAGATCCAAAAGATATAATAAATGGAGCGTATGTGCCATCGTCCACAACAGTTCTACCCTCAACACTCGCTCCGATCATCGATCAGCCGTATGTGTGCTTCAATAAATCCAATGTAGCACCAGATCCGAAGAAAATCTATGGATACTTTACAAGAAATGTCGCCGTTCGAAGTAAGTTTCGAATTTTTCACATTGTCTCTTTTGGGACCTATTTGGAACTTGATTCTACTATCTGAATTTCGTTTCATTTCCAGACCCATTGACAAGCCCAACGGTTTCGGGTAAATTATGGATAAAACGAGAAGATGGAATGTGTCTGAATATTTCGTGGAGTGGTTCACCGCCGTACGAATATTGTTATACATACAGACCGGGCCCATACAATAATACAGTCAATGAAACGTGTACCGATGATCAATGGCAAACGGGAAACACGCCGTGGTTCACAATAAGGCGTTACATTTGGCTAGAATCATCGCTTACGATTTTCGTCCAAGTGCGAAATCAAATCACAAATCATACGAAAATTATCACGGTCAATACATATGAAGTGCAAAAGCAATCTCAACTATCGGTCATTGTCGTTCCCGTGGTTTTTATTCTATGTGCGATTGTTGCAATAATTTTCGGTGTAGCGCATTATGTTCAAACACGAAATAGGTAAAGTTCCGACGAAAAGTCGTTTTTAACTTCTTTTTTTTAAACTGAAAAGCCCAGTTGGGAGCATTTGCATATTTTTGCCTAGATGTAAGGCTCGAATTGGAATATCGAGCTGTACAAAAGCAGCAAAGCCTGTACAAAACATTGATTGGCATCAATTTTTTGCCACAACATTCAAAGATTTTGGTTAATTTTCATGTATCAAATTGTCTCAATGCAATTTTTCTCCTTTTCTCAGGTTCTCAGTTGAGGTGGCTGATTTCAACTTTGGTGAATCATCATCAATTGATTTGGAATATAAATCATTTGTTCGACGCCTGATTGACAGTATACGGAATGTGTTGCCTCAGCGTCGGCTCACCACTGAAATCAATGAAGATGACTCATCGCTGCGATACGGTGTAATGACATAATTATCGTGCATCGGGTTGAGCATCTCACATTCTACTTGTTATCAAATTTCATAACACTAGGAGAGTTTTGTTAAACATTTTAATGCTAAATTTGTACTATGCAATATCAAACAAGATTTAAACAAAATAACAACACTTCACTGGAGTCGTCGCGCACAAGTAGATAGAGTCAGATTGAGATCCATTTCTGTTTAAATTTGTGATAATTACAAAACAACTAATAATTTTAAATCGATATGAAGAAATTTGATTAGTTTGATTGCTTAGAAGCAAGAACTGTTTGGATAAGCCGAAGGTATTTGTGATATAGTTGATTGAGATAGCGGGCTTCAATGTATTTTTAAATTGGATAAAATAATAACAATATTATTCTCGTTTCCATCGAGCTTCTAACTCCAATTTTAGACACATACATATTTTTTTCAGTTTTGAAATTAGAAAGCAATCTTCATACATATTCACTTAAAAAATATATATATATTATTCTTTGTTACAATATTTAAACCAAATTATTTACCCTGATTTATGTTTATTTTACCAAAATGGAAGGAAAATTGGATATTTAAGTTTTGATTGTATGCCGTGACATACTAGTAGTTGTGAATTGGAAACTACCCATATCGAACGCTCTATCAATTCGATGGAGATAGAATTTTATTTTCTGAATGACCTCACATTTTCAAGCAATTCATACACAGATGATGACATTCATTTAAGATAAATAAATCGAAATATGCTGAAAAAATTTATTCAATTTTCTGTTTTACTCTGCGCCAATCTAAGCAGCTCAGTTAATTTTAATTGTCAAGCGGACATCAACTCTAACCGTATGTAGCTTACTTGATTGATGTATTTTGGTTTGAGTCCTTTTGTGAATTCCACTCAACATGAAATTTGAACGTAGTAGACAAAGAGACTAGCATATTTTTTTTCCAGTCAACTGCTCATTTTTAAACCGACATTTTCATTCGAAATTTAAACTTCAGAGTGAATGGACAACGGAAAAAATTTATTCGACATTTTTCAAGCTATTTAATTGGCCAAACATCGGGTAAAGGAGGTAAAAACTCATTTTAATCCTCATGATTATTTCTAGAAGAGTCTAGAATAGAACCATTACAGCTGCGCGTGAAGAGTGAACCAAATAAAAATGACGTCGATATTTTTGATGATCTCAGTCGCTCAAATCAACAGCACCACTTGGCACCATTCATATTGGGAAATAGATATGGTGAAAGTGCGGAAACAAAGAATTTCTAATGGAGAAATTTATCGCGAGTATTTCGATATCATAGATTTGGGAATAATTTATACTGAAAAAATTCCATTGTTGTCAAATAAACTCTCCGAAATAATTATAGCCGCACTTTCATTTTTTCAATTTTCTTGAAAATAAACGCAAATATTGTCGCAGTTTCATTATATTATTTTACTAAGGGCCATTTACGAATACATCACAAAGAGATTTACCCAAAAGGATTTCATATTTTCTATTTTTTGGTGATTTTTCTGTTTTTGGCGTGATGAAAGTGCGAAATAATTATAGACGCACTCACAGTTTTATGCAAAAAATGCAAGCTATTGACATGTTTGTGATTTGTGTTGGCCAATCGGCCATGGCATATGGGCTTCGATTCATGCGTGAGAAAATGATGGAAAATTCCATCAAAGTCTCATTCAATTCAAAGAAGTGTGGTTATGTGTTTGTAATGCATTTTATCCATTTTGATATGATTACAACATAACCTCACTTCTTTGAATTGAATGAGACTTTGATGTGAAATAAAAAGTGTTGTGTACAATGTTAGGAGCAGATTTTTTGTGTTTGAATTATTTTTGTGCAAATTTAGCAGTATACAAAAAATCTGACATGAAGCTTGAGCGAAAAATGAAGCAATTTTTTTCTTGTTATCGGCGAGCAGATATTGTGATGTGTATCAAATGAAGATAAAACAAATAACACATATATGTGTGCATAATGCAGTTGATTCAGGAAGAGAAGAGGTCGATTGTGCCATATCAGATATGGGTAAGAAAAATAAAAAAAATTCTACCAGGCATACCATATGTCAATATTGTCTCAAATACATTAGGAGGCATCGCGAGTTTAGAAATGTTGGCCATGCCTCCAGATAATCAGCGATATCGTCTAGGAAACCAGGTCAATGAATACAAAGATTGGATTATTGAGAACATGTGGATTAATCGCGTAGGATTTCAAGACGAAAAACCTCATGAGAAAGATGCAACCTAACGAAAGCAACACCAACACATTATCCACTTCTATTCACATTGTCATTGCTTTCATTATGTTTGTTATATTCATTTAACTGGTCATAAACTGGCGAATGAATAACATAATAATAGCATAAGAGCATATCACTAATACTATTGTGCAATGTAAATTCCTGGAAGGGTTTCAAGACAATAAATCTAATTATAAATTCTTAACTAATTATTGTAATTTGAACACATACAATGTAGGGGGTAGACACAAAATAACACTAGAAGAAAACTAGCAAAAATTGAGCATACTAGAAGCAGGGCCTGTCCCAGATAGGGCGCAAGTGGTGCGCTGCACCACGGCGCTAGGGCGCCGAAGGCGCGCGAGTGCTGAAATTTGTGCAAACTGGCGCTCAATTTCTTAAATTTTCCAAAAAAGAAAAATTCAGGCGTCGAGAGCGCCGAATGCACCAAAAGCATTTGATCAGCTTATATATATATTGAAGTGCCACTTGTATTTAAAGCACTTTTTACCAATTTAAAAATATTAAACAATAAGATTTCAGTATTTATTCAACCGACTACAAAATATATTCAGTTATTTTGAGCACCCTTTTCCATGTAATTCTCAGTAAACATGTGTATTCAAGCGCTATATTTTTGGAATGACAAAATTTTTTTGTAGTTTGCTCGCAGTAATGTATAATGTTTTCAATAAATCTAAAATGCAAATTTTCAGTATTACATAAGACAAATTTCGTTGGATTTTATTCGTGCCTTTCGAAATACACGAAACACCATGAAGTTCATAATATGAACGATACACACAATAGCGTACAGAACTTTTCTAACAAGAAAGTTACTCGTTTTGAGACGATTTTGAGTCTATTTCATTTCATCCTAAGAAAAGAGCGCCCTGGCAATTTTGCACCAGAGCGCAAAGAGCGCACGGACAGGCTCTGACTAGAAGTTACTAGAAGAATATTTGTGAAAAAAAATTGAGTGATCTCTCTTTCATAAGAATAGCATTGCCAGTGGTTTTTATATGGACAAATTCTTCCATTTAAAATACACTGCCAATGCTTTGCTTATGGAGTTCAAATGTTCAAAAAGTACCGTTAATCCTTCCATATGAAATGCATTGGCAATACTATACTTATGGAAGAAGCAATGGTAGATACTAAAAATACTAGCAGAATATTTGCGTTTCTGCTTGTATACTAGAAAAACTAGAAGAAACTAAACGCATATTTGAACAGATTTGAACAAACTAGCTATACTAGAAATTGGTGTCTAACCCCTAGCATACAATACAACTTCATCATGGGGTATCCAAGGAATTTAGAAAATAAAAGATTTATGCAAAAGGAAATTTCGGTTTTGGTTTGTATAATGAATGATTGAGGATAGAAAAAGATCTACTTCATCAAGCGGTAATCACCATTACATATTAAATTAATATTCAATTCAAGCTCATTACACTTTGTTGAGAAATTGGAGCTAAAGATTTAAACCTGTTTATTTTAGCTAATCAAGAGATTCATTATTATTTGAGGCAGTCTAGTTTTCTCACAGAATCGCAAGACTCATGCGCCTACCAATATTGTTCGGACTTGTAGAATTACCATTTACCCTGACTCGTATATGACATATAAGTCCCATTGGTCCCATTCAGAAAATGAGTTCGGGTTTTCTCCAGTAATGCTGTGCAGCTTTACCTGAAATGTTTCCCATGGTTAAATGAAAATAAGACGAACACCTTATTGACTCCACAAAATGTTTTTCGATCAAAATATTCACATTTCATTTGTCAATTCAGATAAAAACTTGATACGATTTTCAGTTCATTAGCAGTTTCATATTATTCAGTCTATTTGCTGATATTTAAGAGATTCGGAAAGAAAAATCAAGCAATCAACATCTATTTTTGCCATAAGAAATATAAAAAATTTATTGAGAAAAGTTTTGCCTACATATGCATCATATATTCTAAATAAAAACAATTCTAAAATGTTTTCAATAGGTTGAATACAAAACTTCCACTAAAATTGATTAAATGGTTAAAAAAAGGAATAAAAATGGGCAAAGTGGAAAAAATATTCTATCTATTGTGGCTATTGTGATATAATTTTCTCGAAATTATAATATTTATCCAATTGATCGTTGCAATTGTGCATAGAGAATGTTCCATGCATTAAATATTTGCCCCTTCCAATCAATTCCAAATCAATGGTTTCTTTGTGAAAATCGTCTAATTTCCGAAAATCGCCGCCCGATAATTGAATCATCCATGTTGTGTATGGACTCAAAAATGCCTCATTATTAGCAATTTTCCGATGCACATCGTTCGGCCCAACCCATTGACCATTCACAAAGTGATGAACAATTTCTACGTTTCGATCTAATGGTATGCAGTAAATACGTTTGTTACAGCGATAGTTATTATTTCCAATCATTGTCATGTTAATGAGAAAACCATTCAATCGTCCATTAAAACGATTTTGTGCAGTTTCATTTTGCAATTTGAATCGAAGTTGGATTTCATTAAATTTTACCGCATTTAAATCAACGCCCTTCGTTATATCAGCTGCAATAATGATCGATTCGCCTTTGAATAAATTTCGAATTTCGTTTCGAATTGTGTGGTGTTTCCATATATAAAATGGTGGTAGAAGCTCTCCATCAAATCCAATGTCACTAAACGTTACATTCTCATATTCATTGGACAGAATCTTTTTTTCTTTGATCGTACTCTGCAGCGATGTGATTTTTTCAATAGAATTTTCGATCAAAGATGCGGTGTCGTTCGTTTTCAAACTCAGTGGCAAGCAAAGGGACGACACGTTTTGACGAAGTCTACGGCGAACTCATGAACTATCGAAAAGTCAATACAAAATGATACGAGAGTTCGTGGCGCTGCGAGCGCTCAAATGATGTTTGTACTGAAGTGTCGTCAGCTTGGTGGCAAGTCATAGTTTCGTACAAATAGATGAACGACTGGAAAGTAATGCTGTGCTACAGCACGCATGGCTAAATTGTATTTTTCCAACACCAGATTCGATTTGATAACGTGCTGTAAGCGAGTGATTGCGTCGAGAAATACGGGATCTTCAACATGGATTTCAATTGCATTCGGAGATGCAATATTCGCAATATACTGGGCCAATTGCTTACTTTCCACATACGATTCAATGTGATCGTAAACATCGATCAATGTGTTAATTCCCTCGTCAATTTTTGTAAAACACGATTGCAAATCCAATTCGATCGAAAATTGAAATTTCATGAGTTTTGCAAATTGTAATTTCAAATCGCGGAGAAAATTTTGTATTTCCCATTTTTGCATATCTAATTCGGTGCGCTGTTTACCGGTTAATTTGTCATATAATTCATTGACTTTTTTATCCATCAACTCAACCTGCAGCATTGTACTGTTAGAAATTTCATTGTGCACTGCTTTTAATTTTTGTAAATTTTCTTTTGCTACTGAAATCGAATCGCTAACGACCTTCAATTTGTTTG